CAGAAAAAAGCCCCGAATGCCCAGGCCAGGCGACGCCCCTGGTCTTGACTGTGTTCACAGGGACGAGTTCTGTTTGTTTCTAGTTAACCTTGAAATAAAGGAATATTCTGTGAAACCTGCATTTGGGTCCTGTCTGCTTCGCTCTACACTGACAGAATCGGATAATTGTAATCCTTTAATTTGCTTTATAATAGCCTCCTTGTTGTCAAACTCTGCAAACAATATTTCTGCTGAAGCCAAAAAGCAGTCTTTCAAAATGTCTGAGTCTGATCATGTTTTTTTTGCCCGGGTCTCAAAAGATGCCTCAGTTAGTCGTTCAGCTTTATTAGTTGTCCTGTGTATGAGCCTTTGTTGTCCAGAAAGATGAGAAGAAAGCTGCTCTATTTTTTCCCCTCCTAATTTCACTTCCAGGAGCGTAAGTTTAATTGAATTTTGGATGCGTAGTTTGGAAATGCCACTCCAAATTACTTCGCTTGAAACCAGTGCGGGTTTGTTTGCATATTAAGCACAAAGGGTTCGATTTGTGGAGGACAAATACAAATCCTCTGTCCACTTTTCCTGAAATGTTCTATGCTCGTCTTGTACGGCTCGTACCTTTCTTTTTTTAGCGGGAACTCCTGATGTCTGCCCACAAACCCCATCTCTAGCATCTTCCTCTTGATTTGCGGTTGTTGGATGCTCTAAAGCCAAATCCTCATTTCCCTCGTTGTCACGCTTTCTTTCTGTTCACCCGGTTCTTTTCTTATGAGAAATCGCTAATTTTTTCTATCCAAAAACACTTGCTAAGCATGGAATGGAGAGCCAAGCTAGCGAGAGTAATAAAGTGCCAGGTTGGTCGTAGTATCCTCCAATTGAAATGCTCCAATTTAGCGATATTGTCACAATCTTAAGGAGAACCCAAATGCAGCACTCGAGAAACCAAGGAGAATTGGTAATAAACTTTATTGGAGATTCTACTGGATCTGAGGAATACCAACCGAGCAGTTTAACGCACCGGAGGACAGCGGGCAGAAGGTGAGTCAGGGACAGGCAGAGAGTCAGGGAGTAAGCGAGGCGGTCAGCGGGGATACAGGCAGGGTCGGATAACAGGCCAGACAGGATAGTCGAGGGACAGGCAGGATCAGGGAACAGGCAGAGCAGGCAGATCGAGGACAGGCAGGGTCGGAACCGGGTAGGCAATCTAGTTTCAAACGCGGGAAAGACAAGCATGAGGCAAAGTACAATCTGGCAAAGAGTGTGTGTAAGGTGCAGGTTTAAATACTGGCAGAAGCTAATGGGTGCAGAAGAGAAAGAGAGTGAGCTAACGAGTGGGTGTGGAAAACAGGTGAGACAGGTGAATGGAAAACTACTGGTAAATGATGGAGCAGACTATGACAGATATATATTGAGAGGTAAATGTCCATATTCATGAGCATGCACATGATAAGATACTATTTTTTAGACTATCCCACCATGTATCTACCCGTCTAAGAGCACATTCGCCATGTAGTGCTTGATAGAGTCAACAGTGTCGGCGGGCAAGTTTAAATATGTTGTTTCTTGTCTATTTTTGCATCTTTTATCAACTATTATTATATAATATTTTGTAGGCTAATAGAGTGAACACGTTCAGTTTTTTAATGGGTTATATGTAAAAGCACTGCTTGTTTTGAATGTTTTTATGTGTATGCACTGTATAATCATATCTATCACCTAGGGATGCTCCGATCGCCAATTTTGGGGCCGATCGCCGGAATCAGTATCGGCCGATACCATACAATGAGGAATCCTGCTCTCGATGATAGGAAAGGACTTTAGAAACTTTCATTCATAATCTACTTTAGCTCAGGATACACTGGACCATTCTTTTGGAAAGGAAAGGAGAAAATGCTGTCCCACAATACTTTACAGCCGCAAGATTTACCGTGACACAACATTCCCTCATTAACAGAAACAACCCACCATGACCGGGAAACGCGGATCATGTAAGTTACAGTGCTTATTCAGAATTTAACAACATCTGCCTTAACGTGCAAAAGTTTTGATCGTTAAACATAAATAAAAAATAAATAAATTAAAAAAAAGGGATTTGAAACACATTTCCACATTTAAATGTTTACTGACTTGTGTGGGGTTTCTTGGTGATATGTGATATACACAGTGATACATGTGTATTCCTAACTAGTTCTGCATATATTACATATATTTGGTATTTGGGTCAAATATTGTCATACGATCATCATACAAATTTGGACTCATGTGGATTAATACGTGTGGACAAGAGGTTGAGTGCAAAGCAACCATTAAGATTCAATTCTAACCTTGACCATGAAGAATATATCTCAATGTGGTCCACGTTCATAAAGCCTGTGTAAAACAACTCATAAGAGCTCATTGGAAAAGTATCGTGCTTTTTTCTCACAGCAGGCACACATCATCAAAAAACAAGATGGACGTTTAATATTGTCATATTTATATATATATTGTTAACAACTTCATGGTTATATTTTATTTTATTTAAGTCTAGAAAACGGAACAAGTTTACATTTGAATGGAGAGTTTTCTATATTTACAGGGACTGTTGCAAATGGAATTGCTACACTCCTACACTCTACCCACTGCTAATTAACAGCATTGTGAGCAGGTGTGGAGAGCCACAAACCTGGAGCTGATCTCCACAACTAGTTAGACAAAGGCAACTGAGGAGTTAATAGTGGCAGAGAGTAGGAGGCTCCGTCTAAGGTGGACTTTGTTTTGTGCTTTAAAATGTTTGAGTTTGGATAACATAACCCCGTTAAAACAATACATGGTCCTTTGTTTGATTGCTGCATTACCACTTTTCTCTGCCCCATTATGTTAAACCTTGTAGACACAAGTTATGAAGAAGGTTGCTTCTGAAGTGCTAGAGCTAAGGTATTAAGCTATTAACACATGTTTGTGAAAAACAATCCTAGACTTGGTAACCGGTTGTTAATTACTCAAGATAAACCTTCCTGTTATGATTTTTTTTTTACAGTGGTCAAATAAACAACATCTAACGGACCTCAATTGAGAACATCTTTTTCAAAACAGTTTCCTGTCAGTGAGTTGACAGAATATGTGCATGACATTAGTTGTTATGCATTTACATACACACTCTGAGTCTATTGATACGTCTTGGCAGACTTACTACAGTTTAAAAACAATAACACATTAAACTGTTGCTTTTACCTGTCAGCATTGTGAAGTGAGAAGGGCTGGTAATGGTCACAAAGGGTGGAGTAGCATAGAGTGCCTTCGCCCCATCCTGGGCCATCTTATCCAAGTTAGGGGTTTCAACATCCCTGTCATAGTCCCAGCGGAAGCCGTCAAAGGAGATGAGCAGCAGCTTGTTTCTGGTGGGGTTGGTGGAGCCTTGGTGTGATGCAGCAGCACAGGGAGAGCTAGCACCAAGGCAGAGGACAGCAAGGCAGAGCAGCAGCATGACGGAGGACTTTCACCTGAAAATCCACTGGTCAACTATGTAACCTTTCTTCAGCAGGGTCAGTTTAGTCTCAGAATAATGTATCCATCCGTCTAGTCTTACTGAAATATGACTTGAATTATCTTGAAACAAATGTCCGGGACACATTCTAATCAATGCTTGCGGTATTGATTGCAGCCCTTATCAACCTATAATGATATATTTTATACCTTTATTAGCAAAGTGCAGTGATATGACAGGGTTAATGTTTGTCTTTGAAGAACAGATATCTGAGAATAATTCTCAAACTTTGACCGTAAACCGAAAAAAGCTGTTCCCTTAAAGTTCCTTTTATGATTGGATTTATTACTTTTTTGACTTGAAACAAATATAAAACTGATTTATTAGAATCTTTAAAATGTTATATTCAACATTCATTACAAGGTAAAGTTATTCTCCACCTCCTTTCTTCCTTCTTTAAAACTGCTGTTTCCCAAGGTAGAGGTTTTTGATTGAAACAATGTCTGTATTTGTCAACACCCAACACAATTACAGACAGCCAAAGAGTAGACATACAGTACACACATGCATTACAATGAATGCCTCCAATATTTGGCACTTTGTCCTTAGTGTCTCTGTTATTAAGTAGAGTTTGAACAAATATGCATTAAACACAAACATGATTTGGTATAGCAAGTGTTCTTTTAATTTGTGAGTTTGTAGCTGAATTCAACTAATGTGAAAATATTTGTTCAAATATTGGCTCCAATAGAGGACAACATACATGTTTTATTCACACCTAAAACAATGGGACAGCTTCCAGATTAAACTGTATTTCCTTTTTGTCATGTAAGAAAAACTACTACCAAGCTGAATGTACCTTCCTTCCTATTTACAGCTCTATGATAAAGCGGTAATAATATGGTGTCTTTTGAAAAAACACCAAGACTATATGACTTCATAATAAAACGGGCTAAAACACCTTGTAAAAATACAACATGTATACTAATAAAAAACAAACACGGAGTAATAATGAGGTCAATATTAAGGAAGGGTACTATTTTGAAGAAGACAGGAGGGTCATGTCTTTGCAATACTCAAGGCAGAATAATGCTATCACAATCACCAGAGAATAGGCTCGGATCATCATTCAATCATAGGACTTTAATGTTATGGTAATTTACTGTATTAATAAAAGGATAAAATAAGAACCACACAAATGTACATTTATATTTTTAATAAAAGGTGTTAACTGTAGCTTTTGGCAAAGATGATGTGAAAAAAAGGATAAAGCCATCATAAAGAATTCACAATGAATGAAAGTCGACGGAAAAGCACTCAAAAAGGCTAAACTTAAAACATTTCTCTATATTTCTAATCTGCATTTTTATTGTGATCTCCATTCAAATATACACAGTGACAGTCTTGGGATAGATTTGCTATATTTTGTCATTCATGAAAAAATTGTAAAAAGTTCTTCCATCAAATCAAGTAGGCTACATGTCATCCACTCCATGTATGGACATGGTAATATTTAGTGACAATTACCTTTTGATAGAGAAGTGCTTCTGTACCAGAATGTTGTATCTGTCATTAATGGAAGGATGTGGATTGAATAAGAAAGAAGATTAGAAAAAAACAAAATCAGTCTTAATTTTTAAAAGCTGCTCTGCTTGATGTCTGTCTTTTCTTCCCCAATGTACCCAGCTGCATGTTCCATGTTGAAACTGAGAAAGAAAGAAAAGACCACAGAGAGGTGGAGTGAGAGTTAACACGGAATAAGGAATGTATGCAATCTGAAAAGGATGTAAAATGTATCTGTACAGAGTGTTTAATCCGTAATATGATTAACCTGACAAGTTGAATACACATTGTCAAGTTGCATCGTTATAAGGAATAAGGGGGACTTGGCCAGGAGAGGGCAACAAGTCAATTATAATGCATTTTCATGGTATAATGACAGCATGTTACCTCCTTTCTACTCGATTCCTTTTACACCCAGCATAGGAAGTGGTCATTATGAACACCAGTGCGAGAAAAACGGTCACTGCAGATAAACCGACAACCACTTGAGACAGGGCATTCAGTTCTTGATGTGGAGACAGAGAGCAGAAATATTGTTTTAAAAAAAGTTAACCATCTTGAAAAAACACACTAAAACACAGACAAGGTGTTGTGCAAGTGCAGACTTGGAGAGCTAGCTCAAAGGTCAGTTATCAGAGATGAAAATGAACAAGTTCGCAGTCATAGTTTCACAATTGAACTAATAATTGAATGTGGTTCTTACCTCCATAAATAAACTAGTTCACTTTCATTTCTTCTTTTTATTTATTTCAAACCGGTCAAATGCTTTCACTCGATGTGCAGGTTCAAATGTGTTGACCAAGTGGCTGACGTTCCTATTTGTTTCAATGCCAGGAGGGACAGTTTGCACTAAAACTACTTTCCCTACTTACGTCCTTCACATATTTACTGATCTGGATTTGGCACTTTCACAAGCTGTGTGTTCTTGATTGCAGTTTTACTAACCGTGCCAACAGGCCTGTTACAAAAAGTTATTTTCCTAGCCCTAACCCTCCAGTGGTTGTGTACAGATACATTCAGTGTCACATAAGTAGTCTACATGCACTCTCATAGTTCATTCAATCAACACTGGGGCGGATCATTCATAGAACACACACAAACGGAGAGGATACAATCCCTCTCTGTTTGTGTTTGTTCTATGAATGTCAGAAAGGGTCAGTTTTTCAAGATTTGTAATGTAAAAATAAAAAAGTATTCGATAATGTAATACAACATTTGTATTTACTAATAAGCATTTTCATTACATCTGAGTGATAATGCCAAGACCCGGTCAATATGGTCACCCTAGGGCTGTCATGATGAACATTAGGATCTCTTGTTCATCTGGAGTTTACCTTGTGTTGTTCAGTCCATAGCTGCTCTATCTGCTATCGTAATCTGCTTGGTGATGATTTACAGTGTCAGGTCAAGTCAAAAGTCAATCATATGGCTATCATCTGTTCCTTATCACTTTATGTTACTTAAAGTCATTATGTGTAGAGATTATGGGATCAAATGTTTTTAAAATGATTTTATGACATGTTTTTCTAGAGAAATTAGACAACAGTTCAAATTGATGTCATCTTTTTTCATGTTGATCTCTACTATAGACTGTGTGTACTCCATCTTACTTTGTAAAATAAAAATTGTAAGTGCAGTGAAACTTTTAGATAATGCCTACAAGATATTTTATTGACCTGCCTGACCCATGACCACCAAGTGCAGTTCATATATGCAGTGTGGGGGACCGCTGCTCTGCTCAAGGGCACCTTGGCAGTGCCCAGGTGGTGAACTGGCAACGCTCAAAGTACTAGTCCACACTCTGGACTTAAACCCAGCCCAAGTTCCCAGCCAGTTACCAGGCCTACTTACTGGCACACCGAACAGCACATTCCATAAAACAAGTGCAATATGAGATCTGATAGTCCTTAATCCTTTTTATTATCTTCCATGCTTATCAAATAATCTGCTTTTCAGTTTTTGTACTCTCACTTTAGTGCAAGCTACAGAGACACCTTAAATCAAAGTGCATGTTAGAGAAATGACAAACAGATTCTGACTGTTAACTACTTTTTGGAGTCAGTAGAGAACAGAGATAAGGATGCAGTTGGTTTTATATGGCCTTCATAAAAAATGTACCAGTGTTGCATTGGATGGAAGACGAACTGCAATGATGAGTGCAGAAACACGAAACAGACCAACCGTATTACAGGATCGATCTTTCATTTTCATAGTAACTGTAACACATTGTAACACACCTGGTATAATGTTTAAAACACCTCTTGTCTTCTAGAAAAACGGTTTCCCTTATTATTAACAATCAGATGTACACCAAATTGTTTCTTTGGGATAAGAGCTTGCTCATCTTGAACTGAGCTGTTCCATTACATGTAATTAAAACATGTATCTACCTGTATTATTGTCTTGTTATGTCTTCATACATGCAACACAATAAACCTGACACTCCAAGCTGATATAGTGTAGTGTTTTCCAGTGACTATCTAAAAAATGTAGCACTGTTTAGTTGTTGCTAAAAGAAACACACTATTTTAGTTTTTTGTCCAACCAGTGGGGGAATTACACCAGTGCTCTGTTCTTTCAAAATGATTACTGTTAGGGTGACGGTTTGCACCAAAAGGGACACCATCGTGCATCTTGCGCAGTGTGTGTGTTGCATAGAAAGACGTTTTGAAACTTATTGTCATCTCAAGTCAGCAGCAAAGCCACCAATTTGTAGGGTCAGTTAAGAGCAACATACCTTGATTTGAGGAAGAGACCATCATGGTTAAATGCTGATCAGTAAGTTTCACAAGCAAAATGTGAGATAAACCAAAAAGTAATTGATATCTAGAATGTCAAACCACAACGTTTCTTACTGTTTTTTTTGTTGGGGACCATCATGTCTTTGGTATTGTCCAGGTGTCCATCATTGACTTCTGGGTTTATCCCCAGTAGATGGCACATCAGTGGGTACACATTGACTGTCTCAAAAGACCGGAACACCACGTTTGTCTTGAAATCAGGTCCCACCACCCTGAAAAAAGGCTTCATGTCCATCACTTGATTGTCAAAGCCATGTTCTCCTTTGTGGAACTGCACAGGGAAAAACTGTATGGAGAAAGACAAGAACATTATATGGTACATTTTGATATTCTTACTATCTGAAATAGTAAGAATATGTGGAAGTAGGCCTTTGAATGAGCAAGACTTATCTAATGACAGCATGGTGACAGTGAATAGGTTCTCAGCTCTCTTACCCCATTGATTACATATCCAGGATCAGCAAAGAGGATGATGGGCAAGAGCCGAGGATGGTTACCGTAGTGCAGTCTAGCTGGCATCTCCTCCTTTTTGTACACATGAAGGTGAGGGTGGCTTCCTTTCAGAGCCTGGTAGACCTTCTCCAGCATCCCCTCTTTAGGAAGCAGCATCCCAGCAGGACCATAATCCACCAGGTGGAATTTGACATCCTTGAAGCTGAATCCAGGGATCTTAGAGAGGGTGATCTCCTCAAAGGTTCCACCTCTTAAAACTGTAGTCATCCCGTGGTCGGCAGTGATGATAATGTTGAGCCGGTCAGTAAGGCCATGTTCTTGGACCTTGTCCCGGATGTAGCCCACTGTACGGTCTACTTGCTGGACCATCTCACGGCGTTCTTCAGAATTTGGTCCATATTTGTGCCCAATCAAATCTGGTTCTCCGAAGTACAAGGAGACAAAGTCCAGATCCTGTTGGTGGAACCATTCTCCAATCACCTTGTCAATGTTCAGCCTCCAATCGGTCTCATTTGAATGATCATAGAGAAAAGGTTCCACTTGTCTAACCCCCACAGTCTCCCCTCTGTAGGTGGCTGCTGTTCCAGGGAAATGCAGAGAACCTGCTTTTAGACCCTGGAAGAATAAAAAAACACAGTTACCTAGAATAAGGGGCTCCTCAAAAAATGACACATGAAGCTGAAGATATAAAAACCAGGAAGACAAGTAGCCTTTGAGATATGCAGGTAGAAAAGAGATGGAACTGAATTACCTGTCTCTGTGCTGTTATCCAGATGGGTAAGCTGCCGTTGTCCCAGTAGGAATCAACAAACTGACTTTGGTAGTACTGCTTCTTCTCCTGAGTGGTAGTGTTGAACCACATGTTGTGGATTACTCCATGATTCTCAACATAACGTCCTGTTGGAAAGAGGAAATACATATGAAAGAGCAAGATGAAGAGAAGCAAGCCAAGGAAAATAACATTTAGATCCTATTATAGATTATTCATTTATATGATGGTACCAGTGGCGGCTGGTGCATTTTTCTCCAGGGGGGGCTCCTGTAAGAAAACTTATACACTAACTCAAAACATATCTCATATTACAACGTAAGGCTATATGGACTTCACTTCAATAGCACTTTATTAGGTCTGTTCGACCCCTCATAACGCTTTACATACATACAAGTCATTCACCCATTCACACCTCACTCATACAGAACAGTGCCACTTGCTCTAGGGAAGCTAACATTCATACACATTCAAACACTGTTGGCCATCGGGAGCAACTCAGGGTTCAGTATCTTGACCGTGATACGTCGACTTGTTGACTAAACGGGCTGGTATCAAACCCACAACCTTCTGGTCGAAAGCGACCACACCCCCTCGCAGCCACAGTCTCCTCATGATCTGAACCATAACTCTTTGTAATATATAGGTGGCAAACAACAGCATTCCTGTCTGAATTGTTTTATGGAGAAACAAAAGTTGTAAACAGACCAATTTTCGTACTGGTGATGTTGGATATGCATAACTCTTATGAATATTTAACAAACAAAATAACACAGGCTGCATGCATGCAGTTTCCTGATGATCTAAATGTGGATGTTTTTTAAATTTAGAGGGGGATACAACAGCCAATTTCATTTTGATACCGAAGATGTTGTGTATCCATTACCCTCTCATATATTTGATTGTTAATATCTTCTGAAAAAAGTGAATTAAACATCCTATCAACAAGGTAAATAGTTTGAGATGATTTTCAGAATACCTGTAAGCAGGGTGAAGTGTGCTGGGCTGGTGATGGTGAGGAAGGGTGGGGTGACGTATTCTGCCCTCACCCCATCCCAGGCCATCTTATCCAGGTTCGGGGTGTCCACGTCTTGGTCATAGTCCCAGCGGAAACCATCGAAGGAGATGAGCAGTAGCTTGTTTCTGGATCCTGTAGCATCTGGTGGTGGGATAGCAGCAGACAGAGAGCTGCTGGTGAGGCCGAGCACAGCGAGGCAGATCAGCAGCATTACAGAGGACTCACACACTGCACCACAGAGCACCAAGAGCACCAAGAGCACCACACTTCTAATTATCTGCCTGAACGTGCCTGCCTTTTTAACCTTTTCTCTGTGATCTGTTAACAAACGGTTTTGAACATTGGAATCTATATGGTTCTATTACCTGAGCACCTAATCTGAAGAAAATCTGACAAAAGAAGAGGTGTCCTCCACCCATAAGATAAACTATCTTATCTTATCTTATCAACTCATAAATAAATCACATATATACTGTCTTGGGTTGTAGGTTTATGACCAGTAAACAGCAGAGGGTCACTACAATGGATCACATGCACCAAACTGTCTCACTAATCCTGATTTGAATGTGCTCTCAGACTTCAGTTCATCTGGTCTGGACAGGATGGCATTATACATATTGCCTTTTGTTCACTGTTTGTTCACACACCCACACTTCTGTATGTCAGATTATTCAAGATTCACAGATCCACAATAGCTTCACCATAGTTTTGGTAATGAAAATGTGAAGTCTCATGCTCCTTCAACAATGCAACATACAATAAACCTAAGGCATAAATGACAAAATAAATTAAAAAAAGGTGAAAGAAGACATTTAAATAACATAAAAAAGTGCAAGTAAAATGCATGAATAAGTAAACACTGTGCTGTGTCTCGTCAAATGTGTTGGTTATGTTTATATATTTTGTCTGTCATTTCCTGTTTTATTTTCTACTTACCTCTTGTCTTTCATTTCAGGCCCTGTTTCTTCCTCCCCCTGTGTGTTTTCCCGCCATCATCAGTGTCTGCCCCGCCCCTGATTGTTTCCACCTGTCCCCACTCACATCATGTTTAAATAGTCCTGTCTCCCCCCTGTCCTGTGTCAGTTCGTCTGGTTTGTTTTCCCGTATGGTCGAGCCAAGCCTCAACTCAGAAAGGATCGCTTTTCTCTCATGTCAGGTTTTGTTATGTTTGTTTATTTTGTTAGGCTTGAGTTTTTATTAAGTCCTCTTTGTGAGTGCCTTTAATTTCCACCACCTACTCTGTGAAGAGGGATTACCTGAACTGTATACATAAATATACTTCTTTTTTTTATATTCAAGACTTTGTCTCTGGGTCGTGCATTTGGGTTCATCAGTTAGTGTCGATGTCCTGACACACTGTACACAAATACATCAAAAAGAAGAAGGATACAATAAAAACATTAAACTCTGCGTATTTAAAAAATATATGAACACATTTAGATTGTAAATGGACTTGCAAAGAGTATAATCGGAATGTTTTTTAATATGATTTTGTTAGACAAGGAAATAACGTGATATGCAGGACAAAGATGATGTTGCAGTGTACATTTTTCCAATTAGTCAAGTTTCCAAACAACAACTGACACAAACCTGGTGCTTTATGGGCCCCTGGGTGTCTGAGGCTGCAGGGCGGTGTGCTGGTTTGCTTATTTTTTAATCCAGCTGTGTGTAAAACAATTTAAAAGTAGACACACCATGTTCTGTTCACCTACGCCTGTCTGAGGGTCACTTTCCTGAATTTGAAATGTCTTGATTGATTTCTTGCGTGAGGATATAGTGAACGTCAACAAGTGTATTGACTTTTTTAGGTAATACAATCTTAAAATAGTCGAGCATTGATCGATCAAAAAGTCAGTAAAAAACACTACTGATAGTACAATTATACACTTATGAATACATAAGATTTTCTTAAAACCTATTTAAAAATAGTTTTTAATCCTTCCACTATATTAATATCTTGATTTTTTTTTTTCCTTATACTATTAATCAAAAGGATTTTTTTACATTCTTATGTTTATACATATTTGTTTTAACTTTAATTCTTGCTTACTTCTTATGTTTGTATAAGTATTCCTATTCAATTTCTTATTTGATTGTATCTTTTTTCTTTTTCATTATAAAAATGGAGCAACTGCCTGAAAACCACATTTCCAAAATAAAAGTTCCATGAATCTTATTTTGAATATTTTTGGTCGATTTGCAACATAGCACTTATTCAACCTTTATGGAGCACCAGGACTTCTTCATCTACAGCTAAACACTGTGGCCTTCATGGCCTGACCAGGAAATGATCTGATGAATTAAAAGATTAGCTTGTCACAAATCTAGGAGCAACATTGAAATCAGACTAACAATACATTCATAGGACCAGCAGGTGGCGACACTACTCCATAAATCAGCTTCAGGCCAACAGTAAAGTCTATTCCTTCTATAATACCTCAATATTTACCTCTCATATATTGGATGGGTATAAATGAAATGATCAATTTTAATGTGGATATTCACATGTATGAGATTGAAAAACACTATGATTTCCTTGAGAAAGAAAACTATAACCAAATGTTAACTGCTTAAAATATTTCGTACTTAACTTGGTAAACTAAATCAGTATGAGGATTGTCACAAAGCAGGTTGTGTCTGTGTTTACAGAAAGGATCAAATATCAGTATGTAGGTAGTAATCTGTTTAGTATTTAAATTCAGTTTTTGAAATACATTAAATAAATGCAGAGAATGCAAACAGCAGATCATTGAGACATGTTTTTCTTTAATCTCACATGGAGAGACTAAAGAACAATCCTTTAGTCTTCAGAGCATTTGATTTCAAATGTACTTTAATGAAACCTGAGATGATTTCATTCAGGCACACGATAACTGCCAGCAAAGTGGACACACATTTATCAGAGTTATTACATTATGTTTGCACTCAAAATAAATAGGTATATGCATAGGCGGCGCGTGAGGCTCAGGTTTGGGAAGGCTAAATAACTTTTTTTACCTGACGCTGCCTGCCTCCGTCGTCTATAGAAAAGAGATCAACTCAGTGTGCGGAGTTTAAATCTCTCAAGTCATATTACAGGATAAAGGAAATACAGTTTAAACTGCCGTATGCAGAGAAGACGCCGACGTGTCGCACTTATCATTCATATTACATCATCAATCAGATCATCGATCATATAATATCATAATATATCATATATTTCCTTATCTGAGTCAGCTTCTCCAGCCGTATCTGGCCGTGCAACACTTACAGTGTCACATACTGTATGCAGAAGTATTATTTTAAGCAACACATTATGTTGACGAAACACTCGAGTCAAATGTAATTAAAGTCAGATCCACTCGTGTCTTAGATGGGGCAGTGATATCATAAAACTATACGCTTTCAAACACTCGGTAGGCCTAGTTATTTTAAACCAGTTGTTCTGTATTCACCTTGCAGGTGCAACTCTGTGGTTTCCTGGATTATATGTTTAAGTCATGGATGTTTAAAGCTCATATTTGTCTAATATTAGTTTACTTTTCATTAATGAAGTATGACGCTGCGCTGTTAGTACACTTGTCCCTGTTTGTGATTGGTCAAATGTAGCTAACCCCGCCCCTTTCACGTGAACGCGCTCTCAGCTGGAGAGAGAAACCCTGGCTTGATTTACGGAGTTGATAACCAGCGTCGTAGGACCGCTTAGCGAGATCTCGTTTGTTAGTTTGTTGTTGTTAGTTTGTTTGTTACTCAAACATGTCCAGGGTATGTTGAACTGGCTTCGTAGTACAGACATTATACATTATATTTGTATTTTACCAGGATGCAGTGACACAAATATTTGTTAAAAGTTAAACAAGTACAAACCACAGACTGTCTGTGTCATGGTGAATACAGTCGCTGTTGTGTCTGTATCATGTTATTGTGAGTGTGGACGGAGCACAGGTTAATTTAGCCTGATCGATCCGATCTCCATTCAGAAAACACGTATTTTAAAAGGTGTTTCGCCTGCCTTCTTGTCTGCAGACTTGTCAAAGCATTAGTTCATGTTTTTTACTAACCATTATCAGTATGTTGTTAATTGGGCATCATTTTGAAACGTGTATTACAATTAAATCACGGTAAAATATGTTAATTTTGTTGTAGTTGAGTCTACCACAGTATTTACATGGAGATAAGCCCCGCCCCCTCTCCAGCGCGTCCTGTTTGAATGACAGGGGAAAACACAGCTGACAGCCGCAGTGAGACTCCAGGGATTAGAGCAATGCAAATATTCGCATAGGCTAATGCAGTTCAGAGACCAGACCACTGCTCTGACGCTTTTAAAGCGAGATTGTAACAGTGTGAGGGGCACAAAGGCCATGGTGGCCGTAGGAGGACGTACAATTATTTGTGGGGCATAAAGGCCAAGGGATGCTAACTCATCAGGTATGAAAAAGGTGACAAGGACCCGAGCCCCCCGACCCCACGGAATATCGGCTTTAAAATTAGGAATAACAGAGGATTGTAGCAGTCAGAACAACTAAAGCAGCAGTGTTAATAATAACAGGAACGCCAAAGAGTCACATATAGAAATATATAAAAGCATTTATTTTAATTGTGTAGCAGTCAGTTTATAATTTTGGCAGCACTGTTGAGCATTTTGAAAATGTATTTTCATGCCTCTGTGTAAGGCTTAACTAAGATCATAAACTCAAGTACTATACTTGGGTACAATTTTGAGATACTTGTACTTTATTAAGTATTTCAATGTTTTGCTACGTTGTTCTTCTTCTCCTCTACAGTTCAGAGGGACATGGTGTACTTTTACTCCACTACATGTATTTAATACCTTTAGTTGCTTTACAGATCTGGATGAATGATGTGAAATGTAATGAACTCTTAAATCAGACCAGTTCCACCTGGAGTAAATCCACCAGCTACCCTGCAGTATACAAAGTCATTCAAACTAGCTGCACCTTTACCAGCTTTGAGAACACTTTCATGATCAATCATTATAAAACATATCATATATATTATTCTGAAATGGACCAATCTGCACAATGACTACTTTTACTGTCGCTACTTTCACTAGATTTTGATGAGAATATTTGTATACTTTTACTTGAGTAACATTTTGAATGCAGTGCTTTTACTGTAACATAGTATTCCTACACTCTGGTACTTCTACTTTTACTCAAGTACAAGATCTGAGTACTTCTACTTTTACTCTAGTACAAGATCTGGGTGCTT